CGCGTACACACAATAAAAAAATTTATTTTAGGAGATCATATCAAAAAGTCTTTAAAATATTAAAATATTTTTATCTGGAATTTTGAATAAAAATACCTAAAATCAGGTAATTTTTTACAAGATTTGAGTAGATACCCTAAATAAATATACTTTTGTGTATATAAGTATGAATATTTAATGCAAGACATTTGATCGCCGTAAATATATCTAAAGTATGATATCGTGCGATTAACATCTAATTTACTTTTGTGGAGTTTTTCGAAAATGAAAAACGGAGAGAATATTGTTTAGAGATAATTTGCGATATCTGTTATCGAAGAAATTAAAAAAGAACTTGACTTTTTGCTTGTGTAATGATAAGAAGTTTTAGAACGAGCTAGATATATTTAAATAGAATCCTACTTCTATGAGCCTCAAAGTAATATTCACGGTGCATATAAAGACCGGCTGTTCTCATTTCGATGCACAATAAGCTTCTTGTTCTCCATTCTCGCTTTTTGTCAACAGAAAGCTTTTCGCGACGGTATATGCGCATTATACGTAAACACAATTGCTGAAGAAGTTTATACAATTGTTATTGTTTGTTTGCTTGTATATTTTCGAATATGCAAGATAATAATATGAAAGTTCATTTAAACAAGGAAGAATTTTTAAAGTCAACATCCGTATTATGTCAAAATTAGTAACACTTAACGTGACAAATTTACATTGTAAAAAATTTTTGCTGCAATATATTAATAATTTGTTTTTTTAAATAAAAATAAATTTAACACATATCACATACATAAAAAAAAAAAGATTTTAAACACTCTCTTATTTTACTCTATTTTATTCTAATTTTTATCTACATGTTAAATATATGTGTGTGTGAGCGTGCATACTCAGGGTGTCTACTTTCTGGAAAAACATAGAAAATCTGGAATTCTTAGGGAATTTTAAAAAAAAATTCTCTGATAATTTTGCTCTTGTAATCCTACTGTAAGTAGTAGGCAATCCGCCAATAAGCCAAGTTGTGAATTATGTATTTAAATTAAATTATAAATATATATCTATCTTTTTTTATTTATATATTGAATGTCTTAAAATATTGAATATGCATTTCATATTCTTTATTTTACTTTTTAGTGATAAAAAATGAAAATAATATGCAAGTTAAAAATTTTTATCTTAACAAAGCTATTCAGTTTTTTTTCAATACATTTATATATAAATTTAGTACTTGAAGTTTGTGGTTTTGTATTTTTCCTTTGTATGAATGAAAAGCATTAGAAAATGCCTGCAATAAAAAAAATTTATTTTAGGAAATTGCACAAAAATTCTTTAAAATATTCTCTTTATCTGGAATTTTGAACAAATATACTTGGAAGATCAGGGAATTTTTAGAGAATTTTTTTACAAAATTTTAGTAGACATCCTGATACTTGTTCAAAATATTTATTTATGCATCCGGGTTTGCATCTTACTGCTTGCATCGGAGATATTAATGCAGAAAGTGTCGCCAGTAAACTTAACCTTCCTCGATTATCGTGTCATTCACTTTGTGATTCATTTCACTCCGCCCTCGCTAGATATAGAGGCATTAATCTGTACGTTCCCACTATTATGCCAGCCATCAAGTATGACGGCACTTGCGTAATTGCTCTTAATTCATCATAAGTGACTGTCCAGACATTTAAGAATGCCATTCATGCCCGCGTTTTTCGGACTTTCGTCTTTCGGTGGGGGAAACATGTCGATATTGTCACAAAATAATTGGAATCAGTTCCCATCTTATCGAAAAAGAATTGTAGATTAATACAGAAAAAGGAAGAAATATACTCGATGCCATGTTCTACTTCTCCTTTTGAATAGTAAATACGAGTAACGATAAATGATATAATTTTAGTAGCGTTTTATCTCTTTAACCTCAGCGTATCATATATGTATATATGTATATACGTTTCCGAAAAATATGCCCGCGTCACTATAAATGCCGCACCCTGTATATATAATGATATATATGTAACAAATAAGTTCTGACAACACTTGTTGATGATTAAAATGTCGAGAATTATCTATTATGATTACATAATAGATATAATAAATGATATAATTGTGACCGCGCGGAATATTTTTAATTTCAAAAGATTGACGCAACCTTTAACATTTATATATGTCATAAATTTGTACAAGTTTTATACGTGCGCGTTACATGAGTTATTTCTCTTCGGTGTCGGGTTCATTATCAGATATCCATATCGGTTTACCGTGGTTCTCCTTGAATTTTTGCAAGCGCGTGCTCGCACGGATGTGTAAAATATTATTTGCGCGTTTAACTGTAGAACACTTGGTCTATTCAAAACTTTCCTATTGCAATCGATTGTTCATGCAGCTGCAGTTGCAACTGTTCGTTAAGCGTTATCAGTGTTAATCAATAAATATCGTTTGTAAATTAGTCGAAATGTTTTGTTAGACATCATCCCCCATCCTATTTTAATATCGAGTCATTGATGACACTTGGCGTGAATTTAGAAAAATTATGTTCGATTCATTGTATGTGTATATATATATATATATATATATAATTTATGTTTATATATAGAAAATTCATTCATGTCCTGTGTCATAAAAATTAATATCTAAATATGAATTATTTAATTGTAATTTAATTAAATTATTTAAGTAATTTAATATTTAAATCATATACAACTGTATGCTAATATATTCTGTATAAAAATTAGCATAACTTTAGCTCTTAAATTTGACATCTCCAAATTTTATTCGTTGCATATTTTTTCAATAATATAGGAAAAGCGAGAAAAAAGGATTTATATATTAATTTCCCTTTTTTATATTTATTGCTATTTTGCACCTATGCGTGACTTGGATTTTGTTTGCCACTTTGCTGCATGCAGTCCCCCCC